CATCTCTCGTTCACTGTAACTACACTAAATGTAACTACATCTCCCGTTCACTGTAACTCCACTAAATGTAACTACATCTCTCGTTCACTGTAACGTCACTAAATGTAACTACATCTCTCGTTCACTGTAACTACACTAAATGTAACTACATCTCCCGTTCACTGTAACGCCACTAAATGTAACTACATCTCCCGTTCACTGTAACGCCACTAAATGTAACTACATCTCCCGTTCACTGTAACTCCACTAAATGTAACTACATCTCTCGTTCACTATAAACTCCACTAAATGCAACTATATCTCCCATTCACTGTAACTACACTAAATGTATTTCCACACTATAATTACATCTCACATACACTGTCAATACACTAAATGTAACTACTACATCTCCCGTTCACTGTAACCACACTAAATGTAACTACTTGTCCCACATTCGATAGCAGAGTGACTGGCCTCATGTCTCCATTTTGGTGATCTTCGGAATATTTCAAACCTTTCCCGCATGCCACTGAGCACTCCACAGACTGTCAATCCAACAAGACAGACTCACAGCTGTCTGGTCAACCCTGCCACAGAGTGACCCCAGACAGGGCCCTGGAGGTCATCAATCTTACAGGAACAGGCGTGCAAATGTGACTTTCAGATGCACGGCCAAAGTGGATGGAAAAGCCACGACTTGTTTCCATGCACTCTCTTGGCTGTCTAGAACCAGTCTAAGATACCCCAAGGTCTGCCTGTACAACTTTGGGTTCCATTGTCAGCCTGTAGAGAAGTGATGCTTTCACCATTCATAGATGTGTGTGTGTGTGTGTGTGTGATCTCATTGACCGACTGTATTTTTTTGCTGACCATGATCTACTCAACTATTTTATAAGCAAGTCAGTCTTCCCAGTATCAAGCTTCATTGATGAGAATCCCCTGGACTGCAGGTGTTAAGAGCACACACGTTGTCTCCTGAATTAGAAATTGTGAAACACACCCCTAATAAACGTCACTGTGTGAGTCCTGGGAGACTGGGGCTGGACTTGTGAGGGCAGGAGAGCGTCTCCGCACAGCTTCTCATCCAGAGCTCAGCGCTCTGATTCCCTTGTGCAAACAAATCCTGGTCAAACACACGCCTCCTTTCCTTTGGGATTTTTGAAACTTGACAACGACGTGGACGCCCCCCCGCCCCCGCCCCCCCACTGGCCCTGGGACCCCAGGAGCAGGAGCTCCCTGCATCCTGACCACCTTGTCCTTCCCAGTGCCACCCATCCAGGACGCCCCAAGCTGAGCAAAAGAGGCCTCAGACCCCCGAGACAAGGAGAGGAGGGATGGAGTCACAGGAGGCTCCTTCTTCTGCAGGCCCATCAATCACTGTGTTCTGCTGGTGTCGGGGTTACGTGTGGGGCTGCCACCCACATGGTCAGCAGTGTGAAGACCCCCGCAGCTCCGAGGGAGAAAGGCTGGGATTTCTACTCCTCTCGCCAGTCACAACGAGTCAGCATCAACTCCAGGGCAGTTAGTATACAATCCTAATTCCACAAATCCTGTCTTCAGACACGGCTCAGATCAACACCCAGCCCTGCGAAGAGGGGCACACCTGCAGGCAGCTTCAGAAACAAGGGGCTCAGTGCACCCAGTAACAGACGAGGGCGGGTCACCACTCAGGCCACCAACGGGAAACGCATGGCATCCTGGGTCACATCTCCCACAGGACACCGAGCACCCCAAGGCTACAAGAAGCTTCTCTCCTTGGATTCAGCCCCTCCCCCAGGAGCACAGGGTGGAGTTGGGGGCCACCACGCATAGCTTGCCCCCTGTGTCCCTATAGACTCTCGTCTACCTCTGCTGTGCCCACCCACCCATTCACTAGCAGGCATCTCAGCTCACAGACCATGCCTGAAGGGGGGCTGACCACCCACCACTGAGGCAGGGCTGGGACCACGAGACACTCCCACCCACTCATTCATCGTCCCGGTCCCCCAAAGCCGGGGACAGAGAAAGGGCCCACTAGACCACCTGGCCAGCCGCTCTCTGAGCACCAGCGGGCCAGGCAGACAGCGCTCTCTAAGACCACCAGCGGGCCAGGCAGAAAGCGCTCTCTAAGACCACCAGCGGGCCAGGCAGAAAGCGCTCTCTAAGACCACCAGCGGGCCAGGCAGAAAGCGCTCTCTAAGACCACCGGCGGGCCAGGCAGACAGGCGCTCTCTAACCACCGGCGGGCCAGGCAGACAGCCGCTCTCTAAGACCACCGGCGGGCCAGGCAGACGGCGCTCTGGGAAGCCAGAAGGAGCACCTGGCAGATGAGAGCACTAGACACTGCAGCAGGTCCCTCCTGTCAGAGCTGGGGAGTGGCCCACAAAGTGACAGGACAGGGCGGGAGGTGGGGTGGTATCAGTCAGAGAAGGGCAGGAGAGGCAGAGCCTGGGGAGGGGGCAGGGATCAACAGGGACACGCCCAGGGAACCCCTTCTCAAGCCTGTGGCCCAGACAGGCCAAGAGGAGCAGCTGCTTCAGGTCAGAGAGGCTGTGCAGGGCCAGCATAGCTGTGAGTGGCTGTGAGTCCCTGTGGTTGCTCAGCCCCCCACCCCCACCCCCCGCACCCTCCCCAAGCAACAGCTGCCCCCACCACCCCATTCCTCAGCTCTCAGGAGAGAGCCTGTGGTAAGAGACTTGCCCAAAAAAGTCCGCCTCGCCAACTGAGTTAGTTTATTGTGTCAACCTGGCCGATAAACGCATGTGGGACTAATTGAAGGGTGGAGCTAGTTCTCGGGTCTCTTGCTTTGTGATGGTTGCACCAGGGTGCAGCTGCCTGAACAGTTCTCTGCTTCAGTTTACAAGGCTGACTTCCTGCAAGAGATCCCCAAGGAGAAGCCATATGGACCTACCCCGATACAGCCCTGGGTGCTGGAGCAGCCGTGTGGAGACCCCTGCCAGCGCTGAGATGCTTACACGTTCACTGACTCAGCTTTCCTCCTGCAGTCGGTGTCATTGCGTGTGTTTTGTGAAATGGAGGAGGACTTTGTGGATTGGAGTTGGACATATGGGTTAATGTTGGACTTGTGGGCTTGGGCAGCACTGGGTTGGGATGTTTTCTTGACGTTCATTTAACCTTTATATAAAACTCTCTCTTACACATGAGTTGCTGTGGATTGGTTTCTCTAAAGTACCCAGACTAACACACTGACCATGGCGAGTGGGAATAGGAAATGTGGAGTCCTGGTGGCCCGCTGCTGATGGAAAGGAGGAAGGTTCGATTCACCAGCAGCTACATGGGAGAAGAACAAGGCCATCTGCTCCCATGAAGAGGCAGAGCCTTGGGAACTAGTGGGCAGGCCGATGCTCCCTGAAAGGCCATCTCCACTCCTCTAGGGCCATCTGCCCTCCTACAGGGCATCTACTCTCCTACAGGACATCTACTCTCCTATAGGATATCTACTCTCCTACAGGGCATCTACTCTCCTACAGGACATCTACTCTCCTATAGGATATCTACTCTCCTACAGGGCATCTACTCTCCTACAGGACAT